GGCATCAATACCGACAGTGTCGCCACAGAGACCGATATGTTCGACACCGATTCAGAAAATGAGGATGATGACGATGATAGTCCCATGCTTATGTACGGTCCGCAACCACAAATTATCACCAACGATCTAAAGAGCCTGGATGAGATGGTACGTTAATCAGAATTAGTGAACTGCATCCAAAAAAAGCAAACTGCAAATAAATATAGATGGATTAATTTCCATAAAAAGCTAAAATATCCTCCATATATGTTGAATAAGAACTTTACACTAAAAATTGTATCTTCTTCCCACCCTCAAGAGTAAAGTGCGAAGTTTCAGTGCACTTTTTGTACGCGTAACTATCATTCATTTAATGGGTCGAGCCCGGGCCCGGAGTTCTCAAAGGGCCCCATGCTCAGACTCCACAGAATATTTGCGGGAACTCTTGCCCCTTACTCTTATTACTTTAAACGAGCATTTCTTGTACATATGTATATGTATATCCATAGGTTTCTCGGAAACTGCTGTAACGATTTTAATGAGATTTTGTATTTAGATAACGGTTTGCATTTTGTATTTTCAATTTGTTACAAATAAAATAACATCTTGGGTATCAAACGGAAAGTATTTAAAAAAAAAACCCCCAATTCAGAAATATTTTTGAATGGGTTGCCACCTATTTTTTAACTAAAACAATTTAATATGGATATCAAATGAAAGGTATTTTTGTGAATTTAAATCCAAAAATATTTTTCATGAGGGTTGTCACGTTTTTTTTGTAATGCGAACTTTTATCTTAGTAATTTCATCGAGCATATACATATACATATGTATACACTAGACGGTTCGTTATTTCAACTTTTTTTTTTAAATATACAGTTTTCCGAGAAAACTGAACTGATGAAAAATATGTATTTTGGTCAGAAAATAAGCTGTGCAAAATTTTATTCAAATATGATAACTCTAAGTACTTGCGCGTTGCATTTGAAAATTTAGAAAACCATATGCGTCCAGGGAAAAAAGTTTTAAACAAAATAGTTGAAAATCATGAATTTTTAAAGTTAAAATTTTTTATATTTTTCATTATGAAAAGAAGCATTTCCGAATTATCGGAATTATCAAATATCCTGGTGAGCGCGCTCTTCAATAGAAGCGTTCACTAGATTTAACTTTTCACATGATTTAACTGGTTTCTCCATGCTAACTGATTTATATTTTCGAATTAATTCATCAACAACCCAGTTTTTGGCTTTTTGTCAGAAAAAACGAGTTTTGAAACTTGGGTAACAAAATATTGCAACAAACAAGCATTACGGGACGATACGGGAAGCGGGACGACATGTAAGCTTGCATAATAGTTCGTTTTGCATCGCATTTTTAACCGACTTCCAAAAAAGGAGGAAGTTATCAGTTCGTCGGAATCTTTTTTTTTTTTTTTTTTTTTTATGTATGTTACCGCATAACTTTGGACCACGTCAACCGATTTCGATAATTTTTTTTATAAACTTTTTATAAACTAGTAATTTTTAGCAATAAAAAAACCGACTTCAACTCTCATATAAAAAATATATATATATATATATATATCTCATGATCCACTGATCGGATCTTAACCAGAATGGGACCACCTCTGAGACACTACCTTTCAGATGCAAAAAGAATTATCGAAATCGGTTGACGTGGTCCAAAGTTATGCGGTAACATACATAAAAAACAAAACAAAAATATTCCGACGAACTGATAACCTCCTCCTTTTTTGGAAGTCGGTTAAAAACTAAAACCTCGCTATTATAATTTCCGTTCGTACTGCCATCAGGTATGTAACTTGAGAATAGAAATCGCTGCATCTTTTAGGCGCGTCAATATTAATAAAAGGGAGGTAACAAGTAATTTTTAGCAAAATAAAACCGACTTCAACTCTCATATAAAAAAAAATATATATATATATATCTCATGATCCACTGATCGGATCTTAACCAGATTAGCATGGGACCACCTCTGAGACACTACCTTTCCGATGCAAATTATTATCGAAATCGGTTGACGTGGTCCAAAGTTATGCGGTAACATACATAAAAAAAAAATATTCCGACGAACTGATAACCTCCTCCTTTTTTGGAAGTCGGTTAAAAATATTATCATATTATCAGCCTATAATTTTCTTAAAACTCTTTCGTTTGACACTAATATTTCGATATTTCATTTATCTTTCGTATAAGTAAAACAAATTCGACCATTCAAAAAGGTGGCAACCCCTTTAAAAGTATTTTCAAACTAAAATTTTATACATATTTCAATTAACTGATGAATTAAGTTGAATTTAATTTTGGAAGCACATGGCAACTCTCCTAAATACAGTTTAGAAATAAATTATTTTCAAACCCATTTCGATTGATACCCATATTTTGACAATCCATTTAACTTATTAAATAATTTGAGCTTAATTTTTTCAACAATAAAAAAACCAAATGTTCAGCTTAAAGATTTCTTAACACTCGTTCTTTTGTTAACCCTATTTTAAAATTTCATGTAACTTATGTATAATTAAACGAAATACCACTTTCAAAACAGGCGGCAATCGTCTTAAAAATTAATTTCAAACTAAAATTTCCTTAAATATTTTTCGTCTGACATTGTTATAAATATTTCATGTAAGTGATGAATTAAGTGGGAATTTATTCTTAAACACGTGGCAATCGCCCTCAATTTAGTTCTTAAATAAAGGATTTTAAACACTTTTCCATTGATAACCATCGGTTAGTAACTCATTTAACTTATGAAATAATTTTAGTTTAGCCCTTTAAACTGGGGCAACCCTCAAACACATCAAAAATGTTCTAAATTGTCAAACTAAGTATTTCTTGAAGCTCTTTCATTTGACATCCATCGTTACTATTTCATATTGGTGGCAACCCTATTCAAAATATTTTTAAACTACTACCTTCTTAAACCTCTTTTGTATGACACCCATATAGCGATTACTTGTTCACTAACCAAATTCCTTCAATTAAAATTGAATTACATTTTTTTAATATGTGGCAACCCTCCTGTACGTAGTTAAGTTATAAAGCCTTTTCAAAACCATTTCGATTGATACCCATATTTAATAATTGATTTAACTTTTTAATTAATTTGAGCTTAATTTCTAACAGGTGGCAACTTTTTTCGAAAAAGTAAAACGTTCTTGAACATCCACACCCTAAGCCCTTTAATTTGGTACCTCACTTTTGAAAATCGAACGATCGGTGTGGATCTGATGGCATTGATTATTAAATTATTTGAATTCAATTTTTTATCAGGTGGCAACTCCTTTCGAAAAAATAAAACCAGTTTGCACATCTACAGGCCAAGCGCTTTAATTTGAAATTGAACGAAAGGTGCAGATCTTTTATGCGGAACGAAAAATGCCTTCGCGTATTATTTTGAACTTAAGTTTTTAAAAGGTGGCAACTCTTTTCGAAAATGTTAAACCTTATTGCACACCTAAAGTCAGAGCCCCTTGATTTGACACCTCACTTTTGAAAATCGAATGAACGACGTGGATCTGATGGGATTGATTATTAAATTATTTGAATGCAATTTTTTTCAGGTGGCAACTCTTTTCGAAAAAGTAAAATCTTACTACACATCTGCAGACCAAGCGCTTTAATTTGACATCTCATTTTTCAAAATCGGGCGAACGATACAGATCTTTTATGCTGCACAAAAAAATCCCTTCGCGTATTATATATGTATGAGTCGTCCACTTCCCTGCAAGAAAGATACTGGTCAAATGATTAGTAAAATGACCTGG